GTTTGTCTTTTGTTTATTATAATTTTTTGCTGTATTGTTGGTTACTGTGTTATTTCTGTTTCAAAAGCCAGCAATAAATAACACTTTAATATCTAAAGAGTGTTCATGTGATTTTATACATTAGTAATGTTGGGAAGTGAATAAATGCATAATAATCGTCATAATCGTAAAACCGTGATTATTCCTCAGACAATAATCGTACCAACAAAATCTATAATCGTTGCATCCCTACTTCACACACAAACGAAACTTACTAGAGAAGCGTGAAGTGGGACATAATATACCTCTGTAAATAAATACAATTTAAATTCACGTCTCGCACACTTAAATGCCCTTTGTATGGAACATATACACTCCCTTCAAAAAGGAATAATGGAGGAATATCCGGCAATGTCCACTTCGCAGGGCACTTACAGTCAAATATAACAAACGTATGAAACAATAAGAGAAACATACAAAATGTGCAGAGCGGGGGACTGGAATTGAGAACCGCTGTTCTAGACATGCCGAAGATTTGATTATATATAAAAACTCTGCAGCAGCACTTCTTCGTCGTCGTCTCGTCTGAAGCACTCACTCAACCAAGCGTTCTAACCACAACCTCGCCCCTCCCCACCCCCCAACCATTCGAATTTCTGTAGGCGGGAATTATTTGTAATGATATTCTAATGAGCCGCTTTGTGATATCAAACAAACGCTGTAGTCCAAACGAGCCGTTCATTGTAGTTCTTGAAAAGGGATTTTAAAAAAACTAAATATCTCTCTTTGGGATGGACTTTGAGGTTTGTAACTTTCTAGATCTTTTTAATGGCCAAACATACACACTACACACTGACTAAAATTAAAAAAGTGAAAAAGCATAATAGGACCCCTTTAAAAAAAACACATTTTCCCACATAAAATATCAATTTTAGTATTAATATATGTCAAAAATGTAATACATTTTTGACTAACTGTAAGGTTGAATCAACTGTACGGGTACCTGAAAGTCAGTGTTCATCCTGTTTCCTGCTGCGTCTGATAGGAGAGGAAGTTTCCAAAGTTTATTTCCAAAGACATGGAGCTGATGTACGTGGAGGAGCTCAGGTCATCCGTTAACCTGCTGATGGCTAACCTGGAGAGCCAGCCTGTGGCCAAAGACTTCAAGCCCAAAATCAAGCCCAAACTCACACCCATGAACAGCTTCCTGGATATCGGCGATGAGAACGACTTGCCTCTCTCCAAATCTGACGTAGTGCTGACGTTTTCTCTGGAGGTAGATATTTAGAAAGATGCCATCTTTGCACAAAGCATTTGAATGGTTGAATAAAAAAAACATAATTCAGATTTTCAAAATTACATTTGATTTTAAAATAGATTAGTCAGTGGGCTGTTTAAACAGCTAGTTGTCAAAAAGCACTTCCACAAAAATAAGAAATCTAAATTGTCGCTCTTTGGATGCTTTTCAAATGTCATGGGAAGTCTAATCATGTGGTCTTGTGCCTTTTGCTCAGATTGTGATCATTGAGGTGCAGGGGCTGAAATCCGTTGCTCCTAACCGGATCGTGTACTGCACCATGGAGGTGGAGGGAGGAGAGAAGCTCCAGACGGATCAAGCCGAGGCCTCCAGACCACAGTGAGTATAGTGATCACAACGATACGAATAAGAGCCCTTAACATGATATATACTGGTGTTATATACACACACTACCGTTCAAAAAGGTTGGGGCCTGTAAGATTTGATTTAATAATACTTTTATTCAGCAAGGACACATTAAATTGATCAAATGTGACAGAATAGACTTTTATAATGTTACAATCAAATTCTATTTCAAATAAATGCGGTTCTTGTGAACTTTCCATTCATCAAAGAATTATGAAAGAAAAAAATTAATATTATGGTTTTCACAAAAAGACTGGAGTAATGATGCTGAAAATTCAACTTCACAGAAATAAATAACATTTGACACTATATTCATATAGAAAATTAGTCATTTCAAATTGTAATCATATTTCATAATATATGGTTTTTGTACTATATTTTTGGTCAAGTAAATGTCTTTAAAAAAAATAATAAATAAAAAAATCTTACCAACCTGAGTTTCAAAACTTCTAACTTTTTAAATTAAGGTAAACTGGAAGGTAAGGTTAGCAAATCCAAAGGTCAATCCTCAAACAGGGTCATGCAAGGTCAAAAAAAGAGTCAAAAATCCAATATCATATCCAGTATTATACCATAAATGAAAAATAAAGGTCAAAAACAAGACTACATGAAGATGGACAGCTTTATATCTCATAGTGGCATAGTTGTGGCATTATTTCTGATAATTGTATTTTTAAATCTTGTAAATGTCACAATGTGAGATGTATTTCTTTATTTCTTATTTTATTTATGAACTTTATTTCACCATTAACTGTTTTATTTTTGCTCTGAAGTGGAAAAAGGTTGAAACCACACATTAGAGTCTGGTAAAGGCTCTCCCTGGTGAACTTGTTTAATAGATGACATCTTTATATAGAATATTTTATTCTACAAAATGTTCCTACATTTCTTAAAAATAGCATATATGTGAATGTCACTGTAGGTTAACAGCATGTTCAGTTATGTTTTTAATTAAAAGCATTTCCTATACAGTAATATTTTTTATTTAGATATGTACGCAACGTGCCAATCTCTTTAACCTTTTTAAGGTCACTACTCTATTTTAATCTGTTGGGAACAACTCACACTTGCTTTTTATCTTCAGAACTTGAGCATGAATTTGCTCTTATCTCATCAGCTCCCCATTAGCGTAGTGACTTGTTTTGACACTGCAGACACATTGAAAATATGCCAGCTGCGCAGCTCTGAAGTGCAAATGTGGCTGAACCCAGAATGACACTCTATACAGTGGGTACGGAAAGTATTCAGACCCCCTTAAATTTTTCACTCTTTGTGATATTGCAGCCATTTGCTAAAATCATTTCACGGAAAAATGTGAAGCGGTCATCATTGGCTGCAGTGTGTTTTGTAATGTTAAATGAATCTCTGGGTCTCTTTGAGTCCATAGCATATCTGCACTAATGATGCATCTGACCTGAACTGACTAGCATGTCAAAGTTATAATATTTATTAAGTAGACAGTGAGCTTGGAAATGTAATAATTGGAATCGCAGTCATCTAGAATCGCATTTGTGGAGGTTTTCTGCATGTGTTGATTAGGAATGTGTCTCGTGCTCCCTACTTAACTATGGATGCAGTCACGTTAGAGAAATTTCAGCAAAGATGCAAACCAAAAAACATTTCCGCTAGTGGATATAGTTGATGTTTACTGTTTAAAGGGGTCATATGATGCTTTTTTAAAGATCATTATTTTGTTTATTTGGTGTAACCGAATATGCTGACATGCTTTAATGTTTTTTTGAAATAAACATTATTTTTCAAATACTGTACATTATTGTAGGTCCTATATGTGACCCCTTTAAGGTGCATTCTGGGAATTAGTAGGAAACAAATAATTCTGACCATTGGACAGCCCTAGAAATTGTTGACTCCCTCGCCAGTGTACTAACTAACAAGGAGCTGAATGAGACACAACCTAGAAGAAACTGGATTGTATATGATTTGTAACATTGTTTACCTGAGCGTGGATTAGTTATTCCAGTCAACACATAGACAATTAATACTTCTCACTCACATTTTTGGATTTCATTGTATTGGTTTTAGTTGATTAGGTCAGTGTTTCCCAGTGTTTTTTAGTCGCGGCACCCTTTGGAAATTTTAACAAACTTGTGGCACCCTACAAAATTAATTTTGTCACAATATTTGAATTTCTAACTTCGATGTGATCATTAACACGCGTAGAGTGGATAATACGCAGAGCGTCACACCACGTGAAAGTGAAACCTGAGCGGTGAACTAATTTTCTAATTTTTTCATCTCTAATTATTGGTGACTTCAGAAATGGATATTATATAATAGATGCTTTTTTAAACATTTTAGCAATTTAAAAATAATAAAAAAGGATTTTTTACACTGCACTCCTGCTCTCGACAGATGGCACCCCAGGGTGCTGCGGCACCGCGGGTGGGAAACACTGGATTAGGTTTTATATTTGTTGTTTGTGGAGTAGTTGTGAAGTTATGGGATATTTATAGAAGCAGTTGTTTTCAATAGCTGCACTTTGATTGCTGACTTGAACTGATTGCTCCTTTGACCAGGTAAATGCAGGATTCCGTCTCTTTTTCTCTGAGAGCTCCTAAATCAATCTTGCCTCCAACAGTTTCAGTACAGGCACCTTGTGGACTGGATTGTTTTTGTGAAAGTTACAGTATGATTTCATTGTACACAAACAGATGATAGTACTCAAAGATCAGGGACAATTTGCTTCCTCCTGTTATGGCCTCTGTAATACATTTCTTAAAGGGGTCCTATTATGCTTTTTCACTTTTTAAATTTTAGTCAGTGTGTATGTTTGGGCATAAAAAAGATCTAGAAAGTTACAAATCTCAAAGTTCACTCCAAAGGGAGATATTTCGTTTTGAAAAAATCCCTTTTCAATAACTACAACGAACGGCTCGTTTGGACTACAGCGTTTGTTAATAAATTAAATAAAAAATAATGCGTTTTTCGAACCACCAAGCATGAGAGCATGTTCTAGTACACCCCCAAAACAAAATCAAGACTTTGTAAAAGAGCATAATTGGACCCCTTTAACTACAACCTTGCATGGTATTGGCAACTTTGTATTGTGTAAGGATGCCAATTGTTGTGGGTTTTTTCCCTCTTCTATTACATTTCTAAGACAGCTATTATTCCCATTTCTCTCCAGCAGACACTCGAGATTGAAATGTCACTTGTAATCTCGTCAAGGTGAATCAGTGGCATGTGAGATGGTTTCAGTGTGTTTATTGTGCCGTCACCTGCTGGAAATCATGTGGTGCAATCCGATAATGCTCTCATTTGACCTCACAGTATGATGTTAATTAGCACAGAGGAACCAGATCTTGCGGATCCCAAGATTCGTGCATGTGACCATTTTTGTTAAAGCGGCCTATCATGGAAAACATACTGAAAAATTTCTCAAAATTGTGTAAAATACATTTTTAATCATGTAAAACTAAATTGCAATATTGACTAAAATTATAAAGGAGGTAAAATATCATTTATTTATTATTTAAATTTTTTTTTTTATATGACCACTTCTTCGATGTAATGAGTATGGCAAGTGAAAGCTCCTATCGAATATATGTCAGACATATGTGATTGCGTTATGTTAGAATTAAATTAAAATTACGCTTTAATCTGGCCAGTGATGTCATTTCCTGGAAATGTGGTTACAGAGAAGGCAGCAAAGCATTATAGTAAGGCGTTAGCCATTTTTTATAAGTCTTTTATTGGCTTTGTGCACATTACCTGCAAATGAAAGCATAATGAAACCCATTTTCTTTTCTTTTTTAAATACTTGGAATGCTGCTTCGTTTTTCCTTGCAGAAGTACTCTTAGATGAAATAAAATAATTCCCAAATAATGTCAGTGCCTGGTTCTGTCGACATGAACATGTTGCAAACAAATATGAGTAAATTTAGAAAATCCTTTTAAATGTGAATAAGGTATTGCATCATTGAACTGATTTTTATTAGATGCTAAGCTCTGTTGTTTTGTTGCCTTGGTAACAGTTTGCTTAATAAATAGTCCTCCCTACTTGTTTTGGGGGGTTCGGACAGCCTCTAGGTGGTGAGAAGTCAGTTTTATCCCAGTAACATCCACAGACCTCCCAAAATATACATCCACTGGTGAAGCTCCCCAAGGCAGCTTTGGGCTCTAGACAATGTCAGTCAGAGTGAAGACTGAAGGATCTTTTCTGGCTGTGTCACTGGCAACAGCTGTAGCTGAAATTCAGTGTTGGGTAGGGTTGCACCAGCCGTTCATAAGTAAGTTGTTTAATTGGGACGTGAAGTTCACACCTAGGGGCTTAGTAGCTACTAGCTTGTTTGTTACTAACTCTGTACTTAATTTGGTTGCACTGTTAGTTCTTAAGGCAGAGTGTAACATGAAGGTTGTAACCTCTCCATAAATATCTTCAATACCCTCAATGATGTTGTTGTGTGCCTCATGTAACTAATGGTAAAAATAAGTTTCCATTGAAATATAATACTTGGCAAATCATGAAAAAATTTAATCTGTATTTTTATATGTAAGTGACATTCAGAAACCCCATTTTAAATGATTAAGGCGCAATAAAAAAGCAGCAAAAAAGAAAACAAAAGAAATGGCATTTATTTATTAGGATTGATGTTATTTGGCATGCACAACACAGAGCGATGCACACAAGAGGTGTGCTGTTTAGATCGGGTTTGTGTTGAAGATCCGCAAGTCATTTGTTCACATAATGTTCTCTCTCTTGAAATGTAAACAAGTGTAAATGTCAACATTATCATATGTCTAAAGTTTGTCAGGTGAAACATGAGCTTATTGATGCAATTCAGTCAATCTGCTGTTTTATTCAATTTATTCCGATGCTCGTGGTCTGAGGCTTCTGTTAACATTTATATGTTTTTTGTTTATATTTAGAGTTGTTCAACTAAGTTTAAAGTGTTATGAAACCCCTGTTTCAGCACTGGTCTTTCACACTTTAGAATTGAAAAAGACTCCAG